GTCTCACATTTTCTGTCTGAAAGGCAGATGAAGCTCTGGGGTCTATGGACCCTCCCTGCGTTTGAACCTCTCCTGGATACTCTCTGGCAGATGAGCTTCATACGATACAACGACAGTGCCAAGGTTTGGTCATTTTTACGTTGGTGTTAGCAATTATCCATCCATCCATTTTCTTCCGCTTCATCCATTGCTGGGTCACGGGGGCAGCAGTCTAAGCAGAGACGCCCAGACTTCCCTATCAACACACCCGCTTAACCGAGGGGACCCCAGGGCATTCCCAGGCCAGCTGAGAAACAGTCCCTCCAGCGTGTCCTGGGTCTTCCCCGGGGTCTCCTCCCGGTGGGACGTGCCCGGAACACCTCCCCAGGGAAGCGTCCTAGGAGGCCTCCGGAACAGATGCCCGAGCCACCTCAACTGGTTCCTCTCAAAGTGGAGAAGCAGAAGCTCTACTCCAAGCTCCTCACCCTATCTCTAAGGGAGCGCCCAGCCACTCTGTGAAGGAAACTCTTGTATCCACAATGTCGTTCTTTTGGTCATTACCCACAGCTCATGACCATAGGTGAGGGAGGGAACGAAGATTGACCGGTAAATCAAGAGCTTTGCCTTTCGGCTCAGCTCCCTCTTTACCACAATGGTCCGATACAGCGACCGCATCACTGCGCACTGCGTCAATCTCACGCTCCATCCTTCCCTCACTTGTGAACGAGACCCCGAGATACTTAAAGGTCCTATATCACGCTTTTCTTCATGTTTCACACTCAATCCTATACACATGTGTGATATTAATGTGTATAATACACCACACCACAATCAAAGCTTGTGAGATTAGAGCCATCTCTTGTATAGAGGTGACGTCACCTCGACTCAAACGAGCTGATCAAGAGAAGAGTTTGCTCCTCTGCCTGTGAGCCCGCCTCCCCCCGCCCGCACGGTGACGTAGCATCACGCTTTTGTCGTTTATCACCTGTACTTAGTAATTTCATACATATGAATAAATTTTTTCCAACAATGACAATCCGTCACATTGAGCCCTATGTCATCGATGCACAATCAGACCCTAGTTATTTAGTTTACAGAAGTATACAGCGAGTTAGCGTCACTACTTACAGATCGGGGGGTCCGAGTTACGTCTTTTACCGTGGGAATAACGTGTTTCCAGATCAGCCTTTGAGTAAGTCCAGTTCCATTGTCCCTGTAGTTCTGGAACAGTCTCAGTGAAGTGTCGCAGATGAACCGGTATTATAATAGATCCATGAGATGAACAGATGAAAAAAGTCGAGCCGCTTTCTTCCTCTTAGGACCAAATAGTGTGTCACATATTTACACCCATAACACACTTCATTCAAGTTGACGTGATCCTAACACTTTTAGTTGCTGAGAAAAGCATAAAAACAGCAGCTCTATGTGGTGTCCGCGAGACCAGACCACAGACGCTGGACTCGGGAGCCGGAGCCTGTGCGCTCTGATTCGCTGTTTTGATCCGTCAATCACCTCCCGCCGGCTTTTAATTTATTTTTATTTTTATTATTTTTGACAAAAAACAGCATACTAATTGTGTATTGTTTACCCCGTTTTGACAAAAGTATTTAACAACTATTTTAAATACAAAGCAAACGGGTCATGCGCGTCATCAGTGTGGTTTTCGTCACTGAAGTGGACCCGAGCGTTTCTGTGCCTCACGCTGGGGAAGGAGACAGATTGCTCTCTTACAAAAGATTGACAGAATCAATGAATAAACTACTGTGGGCTTGTGTATGAAGGCCAAATAGCATTGCAATCATGTTTAAAGCAGAGAAAAGTCAAAAACCGTGATATGGGCCCTTTAAACTCCTCCACTTGGGGAAGGACCTCTCCACCCACTTGGAGCTCCATGGCCTCAGATTTGGAGGATCAGCACCTTCAAATCTCATCCCAGCCGCTTCACACTCGGCTGCAAACCGTCCCAGAGCCCCTCCGACTATAAATTCTGTCCATAAAGACAGTGAACAGAACTGGTGACAAATGGTAGCCTTGGCGGAGGAAAACATGCACCAGGAACAGGTCTGACTTACTGCCGGCGATGTGAACGCAGCTCTGGCTCCGGACCCCGTACTCCCAGAGAACCCCCAAAGGGACACTCCGGGGAACACGGTCGAACGCCTTCTCCAAATCCACAAAACACATGTGGACAGGTTGGGCGAACTCCCATGAACCCTTGAGTATCCGATGGATAGTATAGAGCTGGTCCAGTGTTCTACGGCCGGGACGAAAACCGCACTGCTCCGGTCGTAGTCTCCTCTCCAGTACCTTGGAGTAGACCTTACCGTGAGGGGGGGATTGAGAACCTTGAAGTATTCCTTCCACAGCCCGACAATATCCCCAGTCGAGGTCAGCAGCTCTCCACCTACATAATTTACCATTTGAATAGCTTTCTTTCAAAGTAAAAACATTTAATTGATCTTTGATTTCTACAGTAGTTCATAATATTCAACAGAATACTGGTAATTAAGCTATGAAAGTATGAAATCCACATAAGCTGATAGAGCTTGAGATGTTTTGTAACGCTGAATGGTAAAAACTTCCAATGTGGAGATGTGCAAAGCTTGGTGCTGGGATTACAGAAAAAGGGGGTTTGAAAGTATTTACCCATGTCATATGAATACTTGTGTGCATTTGTCACAGGTTCAAAAGTGTCTGTTGAGGGGGGTGTGATCAATAAAAGGCAAGAAGGTTAAAAAGGGGATACAAATTTTGTTCTCGCCAAGCTCTTCTCTGTCCCGGGACCGGGCCGCAGTCTCACCAGCCACTCGCGAACCACGGGTCGCCACCGGGCACCTGCAGGGGAGAGCGGGCACATCCCAGCCGTGATGTGGGCCTAGCCCGGCGCGCACACGCCTTCCTGCACTGTCAATGCGCGCCCATCACCGGTGCCGCTCTCCCCGCTGGCCTCAGTCCCCCATGGTCTCTGGCTGTCTTTCTCCTGTCTTTCCCTCTCCTGTTCCGCAGTGCCCGCCCCCATTTTATGGTCTTGATTAAAAACAGGTGTGGGTAATTAGGGGAAGTGTCCAAGGAACCGTGATTTAAAATGCATGCATAAAACATAAAAGCACACCAAAACATACAAAGCAGCACAAAATAAAAGAGGTTTAAAGTCCTTATAAAAGTCCACTTTCCCACACATGCTTGTACTTAGCCTTTAGTTTGTAATTTATAACAAAAGCATGAATTTTTTTTTTATCACTTCACAGTTGTCTTCTACTTTCTTGTGGTCTTTCAAACATCTAAAATAAACTAGAAATGGTACAATGGCTGAAGCCATTGTGAGTTGCTGCATAGATGTAAGGGTAAGGGAAGAAGAAGGAAGAGGAAAAAGGAAGAGGAAGAAGGAAGAAGTAGATGAAGATGAAGGTGAAGATGAAGGTTAAAAAGATGAAGAATGTGTTGTAATGTGCTGAATGTGTTGTAAAGTTCTGAATGTGTTGTAAAGTGCTGTAAGTGTTGTAAGGTGCTGTTGTAAGGTGCTGAATGTGTTGTAAAGTGTTGAAAGTTGCTGAATATGTTGTAAAGTGATGAATGGGTTGTAAGGTGCTGTAAGTGTTGTAAGATGTTGTATTGTATCCGTGGTAATGAATTGTTATTGTGGTAATGTGTTGTATGGGGAGCAATCTGTTGTTCTGATCTAATGTAAGCCAATGGGAAAAAGTGCTTGAACTTTTGTAAATAATTGAAAAAGTGCAAAACGTGGAAGTGTGAAAAGTAATAGCAATAATGAGACGGTGAAGCCGGTCGTAATGATGTATAATTTGGTGAAAGCGTTGAAGAGTTGAAAAGTGCTAAAATCTGGCGGAAGATGTAAGACGACGACGGATTAAACACTAGGATAGCATACAGTGGCTGCATACTCAATTATCTTTGAGCTAATGACGAAAAGTTCTAAATTGTATTGCAACTTTTGCAACCCACTAACCACTTAGTTACAAGTTACTCCCAACACTGATGATTTGATGAAAATGTAATATTTCCTTAATAGAGGTAATAGAGAAAAGGAAGAATGGACATTTTATTAAATACGTATATGCCATATTTTTTGTATAAAAAATAAAATAACACATTACATTTGTATTTGCACAGATATTTGGCTAACCCAAAAAATATTTACAGAGATAGCCCAAATGTAACAAAGTACATGAAATCCCAGTACTATGAACTGAGCCAGAACAAACATTTGCTCCAATAAGAAATGTTTTATTAAATAAAATTAACATGATCAATAAAACAAAAACAAAATATACATTACATTATAACCAGTAACCCTCAATTTACACCAAGCGAGGCACGTAACACAGGCAGGAGACGCGCATAGAAAGCATGAAATTTACATCATACGGTCTTCCATGCAATGTTGATGCATAAAAAGTAAAACTCCATCTCATTTATAGTGGTGCGTGACATACAGTATTTACGCTGGTTATATGCATGTATTCCACTGCTGTTTTAAATTGACAGGCTCCTTACAATTCAAAGCTATTCTTGAACCTGCCAAACTACGTTTACACGCTGAGGGCAATAGGTGTAAATTGGGGCTTAGAATTTCCCAGTACAATAAATGGTCATAGTTTTATTTATTTGACTTTTGAATCAGCTCCACATTCTGACTTCTCAGCGCCAATTTGGTGTTAACTGAAGATGGCTAAATAAATAAACTTAAAAAGGGGTTTCACTTGACCAAAGCATAAAGGGCAAGAACTCGCTTGGGGCACATGGCCGTAGTATCCTCCTGAGTTTATGGCCAGATTGTGGCTGTTGCAATCACATTTGCCATAAGTAAAATGGGAAAACACCTTTAACTCTGAATTAAATAGGATATCTTTGTGCGACTGCCATATCAAGTATTCAGTCATTTGTACAAAACTTAAACTATATTAAAAAAGTAAATATATAAATGGAAGAAATGTCTATGTCATTTGTATTTCCATAGTCTATAATGTAATACTCTAATGACCTAATAGTTACTGGGATTCTCAGAAAGGGGAGAGGCTGGGAACCTTGATATTAATGTCTCCAATGTTAATATTGCGGGGAATCTCAGGCAGATTCATATTTTTCACGGCTGAGACAGCTCGAGCTGGGGCTGCTGATAGACCTCCCTGAAAACCAAAGAAAAAACATACATTATGAAGGACTTTTCTGAGACTCACTTTCATACACAATAATTAGATAATGTTAAAACCTACAATGTTTTATGAAGCAAGCCATCTTGGCAGCTAAATGCACGTTTCTCAATGAGAGGAAAATACAAACCTCTGACTTCTCCATTCGATTCTGCACTTCTACTTGAGCTACTATCTCATTCATGTTGGTTTCCAGCACCATTCCTCCCATCACCACCTCCTGCAAGATATAATGGACCTACAAACAAGAGTTAACAATAGCCACCGGCAAATTAATATCAAATCGGAAATTCAATGTTACATGTTTGCAAAAAATCTATTTAAATGACAATTATGGTCAACATGTTGGTTGTGGAGAGGCAAAAGATCCTCTGTTGCCTTGTGGAAGATTTATACCGCCTCTGGAATGCAGTTAATTCAGGACAGTTTTAATTGATATCTGAAGGCAGAAAGCAACTGTTCCTCTTCCCTAACAAAGACATGTTGTTCACAAATGAAATGCGAGTGTAAGTGATGTGCTCAACTGTATTTCTTGCAGCAGATTCACACTGGAACACTATCCAAACAGACCACCAACAAACCTACAAGGTGGTTAACCAATACTTTGTAAAAGCTTTCAGGCAAAAATATTCCCGTCTTGGGAACATTCCTGAGGCCAATCCCCACAATCACCACATGACATCAATTTCCTGCTGGGAAAATTCAATAAAGATGGTTGAAGATGTGTCTTATGATTAGTCTAACGCAACACATGTAAGTGTTAAGTGAAAGAAGAAAGAACATATTTCCAATGTGTATACTAGCGTAAAAACAGGAAATAATTCTGTTATTCTATTTTCATTGGCTGAAAAATGTAGGCTAAAAATTAACAGACGATAAAAAGTGATGATGTGGTGTACTATTCAAAGTTCATTCAGTGTGCTAGAACAGCTCCATCTCACCTTGTCCATATGAAATATGAGGTCGAGTTCACACACATTTTCAAAGCACTTATCCAAGGTCTCCACAAAGACCTGTCACAAACAATGGTTCAAAGATAGTTTGTTTAAATCTTGACAATACACTGTTTACATTTAGAGTAAATCAATAGAAAAGCTCTTACACAACTGCAACAACTTAGTGAAAATATATATTAGATTCACATTTGTTATATTAATTTTTATTCATGTTTATTTTTATTTCTTCTTGTATTAAAACAATAACACAAATGCATAACACATGCATAACAAACCTGGATAAGATCCAAAATGCCAAGTTCGCTCTCAGAAGAGTCGACACAAAAAACAAAGTAGAGAGTGGCATAATGACGGTAAATCAATTTGTAGTCTGATCCACCGATAAGACTGCAAAACAAATAAGGTACAAACATTGAAGTGTCAGAAAAAAAGGGTTTTATTGAAAATTATGTGGCAGAAATGTCATCAATGGCACCATCTCGTGGTTGTTCGTGACAGTACATATCAACGAACACCCAGCTATATTCTGTCTGTATCCGGAGCAGTATGACATATTTGCATTGGAAATCTGATTGTAAAGAGTGAAATTGTCCAGAAGCAACGTTAGTTACCTGCCTCCCTCCAGGAAGTTGCAGACGTTGTCATCCCTCTTAGACACTAAATGAAATGTCTCCCGAATGATCTGCTGTTGCATGTCCTCTGCCTGGAATCACAGCGCGAAATGTGAAATTACGTGAAATATTGTCAATGGCACAAACAAGTTTGCTCTATGCAAGTTTCAAAGATACTCCTATGAACAGTTATATTAAGCGTAGCACAATTAAATAAAAATGACGACAGATATAAAGTTGAGATAACAATGAACGTTACTTACAAAATATTGATAAAAACGGATGAGCCGAGGCTTGCCATGGTTGTTGAATATTAAGATTGCTTTAATCATACTGTGACGAGTTGATGTTATTTATCATATAAAATCACAACAGACATAAGTTAGCTTCTTGGCTACGCTCAAAGGACATCTACATCCGGCTCTGTTTTCTTATTTCTAAGGTCAGACAAGAAGAACGATCGCCCCCTACTGTACCGGAGTTCAAGTGCGAAACATCCATTTGGTGTGCGTACTGAGCTCTGAAAGCACCTGAAAAAACAAATGTGGAAAATCAACCTCACAGAGACGGGATCTTTACGCCAGGGCCACCTGGAAGTTTATACTCAGTTTCTTTCAGATTTTTCAGACAGAACAAAGTCAGGACTAGGTTTTTAATACATGGTTTTCCATCGCGTGCCTATTACCCATGATGCTTTGCGCGAAAGGCATTTTGGGAGTCAAGCTTATATTGCACGTATCATTTGTCACTGATAATTTGTCACGGATCATCTGTCCCCATGTCAACTAAAGCCACGAATTCGGCCGACACTGACCGCGTTAAGTATATTGATACACTGGAGTAATCTTTGATGCAAGATCCTTGGAGAATCGGGAGATTTGGATCCATATGAAACGCGACCAGACCAGTGGACTTCCCAGAAATGGCTTACTTTCACTTAACAGTTTTCCCAATAAAAAAACGTCATGATGTATATGATGCAATATTTCTTCCAATCAACATTTTATTTTGAACGAAGCAGTTGATATCACAGGCCGCAAATCACTTCTGTCTACCACCCATTGCAGATTCAGTCTTCCCAGCCTGGTGCAGGGCTACAATTTTGTTTCTGGTGTCCTTTGACAGCTCTTTGGTCTTGGCCATAGTGGAGTTTGGAGTATGACTGTTTGAGGTTGTGGACAGATGTCATCCATACTGATAACAAGTTCAAACAGGTGCTATTAAAACGGGTAACGAGTGAAGGCCAGAGCAGTCTCTTAAAGAAGGAGTCACAGGTCTGTGAGAACCAGAAATCTTGTTTGTAGGTGACCAAATACTTATTTTATCTTATGTGATTTTCTGGATTTTTTTCTCATTCTGACTCATAGTTGAGGTATACTATGATGAAATTACAGGCCTCCCTCATCTTTTTAATTGAGAGAACTTGCACAATTGGCGGCTGGCTAAATACTTTTTGCCCCACTTTATATTTATAAATAGTGTAAAGAACAGCAGTTCTTTACGTATGTAAATATCACTCTGCACCTTATTCATTTACTTTTTTTAAACTTCACATTGTACTTTAGATTGCCCTGTACACATTTTAACACACTAATTTGCACATATAATAAAGTGCACACAATTGTTGGTTTTAAAACATTTATTGAGAGTTTCAGTAATGGCGGCTGCCGGTCTGCGGAGACAAACAAAAACAACAGTTGGAATTGGCTTTTGTGCAATATATGTGGCGTATTTTGAAATTAGTTGTGTTTGGTATGGGTTCGGGTGTGTGTGATGTGTGGTTTTAGCAGGTGCATGGTATAAGTGTGGCTGTGTGATGTATTTTAAAAAGTGCTTTTACCAAGCCCCGGCAATCCAAGATGGCACCCTATTCAAATGAATGGCTTGTGCTCAGTAGCACTAGCGCATGGGACTTCATGGAGACCGGGAGATTAGCTGAACTCGCCAATATTTCGGCATCGTCTGGTTCTCCCGGTTCTGCGCAGTGGATCTCCCATAATGCGTTGCGTCAAACGTGCGTGTGTGACTTTCATGCACGCACACAGAGGGGCTCGGCCGCGCTCTGACCAATCAGAGCTGTTCATCAGAGCAGCGGAAGCGCGGAGCCAGAGCGGGAAGGCAGGGAACAGAGTTTGTGGCAGTAAAGTGTGGATTTAAAGAAAACCGAAGGATTTAAGAAGAAAAAAAGTTCAGGATGACAAGGGACACTAAAATCCCCACAAAATCTGATCTTTATGAAAGCTGTAGGTTCTCTGTCAGCTGAGGTCGTGCTGTTTTAATATGCATTGAGTTCTATGGGACTTTTTTCTGGGTAACCCGCGTGAATTTAGCATTATGGGAGATCATCCACTGCGCAGAACCGGGAGGACCAGATGATGCCCAAATACAGGCGAGTTTCCCATAGATCTTTGCGAGTTTCAGGCAACTTCCGCTAATCTTTCAGTCCCCATGCCGTCACAAAGCGCCACTGAGCACAACCATTCATTTGAATAGGGCGCCATCTTGGATCGCCGGGGCTTGACTGTCACTCCCGTATTCGTCCCGGAAACCGGATTCGTCCGGAAGTTCAGTTTGCGCATGTCAACAAGTTTAATATGTCCTTAAGTGGTGACTGGTTAAGTTTAGGCGTCTGAGTAAGATGGTTAAGTTTAGGGTTAAGGCCGGGTTGGGGTCATTTTATGGGAATGGCTGGTTTGAATTTAGGCATGAATAGGTAGTTTTTTATATTTACTTCCGCTTCCGTCCAGATTCCGTGACGTAATCTACTGCTGCGTATGCTCATTGGATCAAACTGAACTTCCGGACGAATCCGGTTTCCGGGACGAATACGGGAGTGACATTGACCACTGTCTTGTGTCCAGGTGCGGGGCCAAAAGAGTCCCCGGGGTACGAGCACCTGCATTTATCGTTCCGGCTGGACCAAGTCAATGAATTGGTGTGGGGGGGATTTGGCACTGTTTTAATCATAGTTTTTATATATATTTTTATAGGTGGGTGTTTTATGAGTATATTTTCATAGGGGTGTGTTTTATTAGTCTAGTTGGTTGTGGGTATTTTAATGGAGGGTTTTAACATAGTTTTAGCTAATGTTGATTGTACACCACTGGAGTTTTAATTGGTTTTACCCAGTAGTATATAAGGCGCCCATTTTCACCATTTCATAGTCCTGCTGCTGGGGAACACATGCTCCTGTCCTCCATTCACTGTGTCATTTTGGTTTGCATTTTTTGCACCCTTTTGTTTTTGTTTGCACTGCCTACTTTAAAAAGAAGAAAAATAAGTGGACCAAGCCTAAGCCTGCCTCCGTCAACCTCTTGTTTGGTTATTTCTCACTGCCATCTAAGCCTGTCCTGCCTGTAGATAGAAGATAGATAGATAGATAGATAGAAGAATAGATAGATAGGTAGATATATAGATAGATATATAGACCTGTCCTGTCTTCTTAAATCCTTAGGTTTTCTTTAAATCCACATTTTAGTGCCACTAACTCTGCTCGATTGTCTCCCGCTCTGGCTCCGCTCTGATCAGCAGCACCTGATTACTCAGAGCATAACCGAGCTCCTCTGTGCACGTGCCTGAGAGCCACACACGCGTATTTGGCGCAACGCATTACGGGAGCTCGTCCAGTGCGCAGAACCGGGAGGACCAGGAGGTGCCAAAGGTGGCACTGAGCACAATCCAATGAAATCCTTGGATTGTGCTCAGTGGCACATGAATAGGACGCCATCTTGGATCGCCGGGGCTTGTTTCCCCCTCACAACCATAAAGATTTAAACAGGAGAGTTTATAAAGCTTTTTTTCTACATTATTCTATTCTACATTATTATTTTACGATTTCACAACGGGAAGCACAAGAAATAAGCATTTGATACAATCAAGTTTGAGCTGGGCAAATCGCCGAACTTGGCACTCTCCAACCCCAAAGCACAGACGACAGTGTCAGCCAACCCATCGCAGTGTTGCTTCAAAACCAAGAAGATGGCGCAATTAAACCAGTGACACCCGCATTGAGAGCACTCAGCCCAAAAGAACAAGATTGAGAAAGAGGCACCGGCCATAACCTGGGCATGTGAGCAGTTTCGAATTGGCATTGAGTTTCATGTTGAGGCGGATCACAAACCTTTGGTGCCACTTTTGGGATCAAAGAACCAGGATGAGTTACCTCCAGACGTACAGAGACTGAGAATGAGATTGATGAGGTGCTCTTTCTCCATCTCACATGTGCCTGGCAAAAGCAGACGTGTTGTCCAGAGTTTTACAAAAGACAACATGTGACGAGGTGAGGAAATAGACTTGTATGTACATCAAGTTGTCACTCATCTCCCTGCCATAGAGAAACGGTTACAACAAATCAGGGAACAACATGACAATGACAAAATACTACAACAAGTGAAAGAATACTGCTGGAAGGGCTGGCCGGACGAACACAAATCTGTTACTAACTTAAATGTAACGGTGAGTTTTTAATTGTGCAAATAATGTTAGTATTTATTTTCTGAGTGCTGCCTTTGACACCGTCAACCATGAGATCCTCTTACAGAGATTAGAGGACTGGGTTGGCGTCGCTGGCACCGCCCTAAGTTGGTTTAGGTCTTACCTTGAGGACAGGAAGTACTTTGTGGAGATTGGAAACTGTGTCTCAGATCCTATGGCCCTGACCTGTGGAGTACCACAGGGGTCGATCCTGGAACCTCTTCTTTTCAATCTCTACATGCTGCCGTCAGGTCAGTTAATACGCAGAAACAAAGTGTCCTATCACAACTATGCAGACGACACTCAGATCTATGTCTCACTGACTGCAGGAGAACATGGACCAGTGGACTCACTCCTTCACTGTATCCAACAGATCAGTGAGTGGATGCAAAACAACTTCCTTCAGCTAAACGCAGACAAAACTGAAATGATTGTCTTTGGTCCCCAGAAACAAAGAGAGCGTGTCATCTGTCACCTACAGTCTCTCTCCCTAAAACCTTCAAACAAGGTCAGAAATCTGGGGGTAATACTGGACTCAGACTTAAATTGTAATAGCCACATTAAATCAGTAACATCAGCAGCTTTTTACCATCTAAAAAACATTGCCAGGATCAAAAACATAGTGTCTAAAGCAGACTTGGAGATTCGTATCCATGCATTTGTCTCCAGTAGGTTAGACTGCAATGGCCTGCTCACTAGTCCAGTTCTCAGGTCTCTGCACTGGCTTCCTGTGGCTCAGAGAATAGACTTTAAAACAGCTCTGCTTGTGTACAAGTCTCTCCATGGCCTCGCACCAAAATATAATAGTGACATATTAGTACCATACGAACCAGCCCGGACTCTGAGGAGCACAGGGACTGGACTCCTGTTAGTGCCCAGAGTCAGAACTAAACATGGGGAGGCAGCTTTTCAGATTCATGCTGATTGATGATCATGATGATTTTAATGCTTTCTTATTTTGTTCAGCACTTTGAATTGCCTTGTGTATGAATTGTGCTGTATAAATAAACTTGCCTTGCCTTGCCTTACAATATTACATTGTAAATGGCATTTAACAATATTTATATTATACTTGTGTGTGTTAGCTTTGAGTGCAGATTTGTTTTATTGAGGCTCAAATCGAGGCTTTGTGTTAAAAAAGGTATAGGCAAGAGGAGGAGCAGCAGTTTAAATATAAATCTACCAACTACCAACCCCTAATTATATGATAAAATAGAATAGAGTTTACTTTTGAATGCACTGGAAAACAGTCCTAAGTAGCTCTGAAACAGTTGTTGTTTTGTGCTTTACAATTTTTATTTGTATGGCTTTTTTCTACCTGAGATGTCGCTGCGGTCCAGTTTTGCACTGGTCCAGACCGGAGCGGAGAGGATTCATGGTCCGAACCAAGCGGATCAGGTGAAAATCCACTGGGGGAATGCTAAGGAAGCATTTTGCATTCTAATTTGAACTAGAGCAGAGAAAATGGTCCGAACCAAGTGGCTACTCCACCTTGTGACCTGTCCTGCTCCGCTCAGCGGCTACTCCACCTCTGCTGCTGTGACCCGTCCTGCTCCACCCAGCAGCTCCTCCACATCTGCTGCTGTGACCCGTTCTGCTCCACCCAGAGGCTACTCCATCTCTGCTGCTGTGACCTGAAGTGCTATTGCTGATTATTGTTAGCTTTTTAGAATGATAAATTTAATGTTTTATTTTTGCTCGTGAATTTCTCCTACAGGGATCAATAAAGTATCTATCTATCTATCTAGACTATAACACATAGACTATATCTTATTAATTCACCATATATTTTAAAAAATGAAATGAAATGAAAAATGAAATGTGTGTATACAATTTCATTTTGATACTCACTGTTCTATGCCTATAGTAGGCTCTTTTGCAGTGGTATGGATAATGTTCACTTAACGTACTGTCATAGAAGACTAGCTACTGTAAATACCATGAATATGGTAAAACCTTCACACTTTGGACATCCATTATGTTCAAATAATTTGTATTTGTATTTATTGGATCTCCATTAGCTGTAACAAGTACAGCTATTCTTCCTGGATTCAGTCCAGCATGCTGGTCACAGAAACAATATTTACACCAGTTTTCACCAACAAATAATTGATTTGTAATTATGGGATCAGACTTTTCTCATAATAATAAATCAAGCTGTTTTTCATACTTAATGTTTTAAAGAATATTAAAGACGAGTCTGAGTCAGCGAAATTCTGGAATTGCAGTTGTGCACTCTTTGATAAGATGAGGCCTACAGTAGTAGTAGTAGTAGTAGTAGTAGTAGTAAGTAATCTTTATTTATATACCGCCTTTTCACTGCACATCGGAGTCTCAAAGCGGTTTACAATTGTGATTTTTGGGAGTGGGGGTGCCAGTACAGGAGGCACATGCCAGACCTACTGTACATATTTTTAGTGGTAGGGGAAACCGGAGCACCCGGAGGAAACCTACGCAGACACGGGGAGAACATGCAAACTCCACTCAGAAAGGCCCTGATCCAACCAGGATTCGAACCCAGGACCTTCTTGCTAAGAGGCGAGAGTGCTATCCACTCAGCCACACTGGGCCGTTGGCTGGTTCACACTCTGCATTAGGAAAGAGCAGATCATGCAGATTTCAAAGCAATTTAAATACTAACCCATTTTACACAACAATCAGCAGCTATTGAGTCACCAATAACTTTCACTCAGGGGGTTGAGTGTAACAGTTCTATATTGAATTAAAATCCAAAGAATTCTGGAAACCAATAAAAAACAGGTATGGATGATGACAAAAAGGCACAGATCTTGAACCCACTCCCTATGGATTACATCAATATTAGCCTGGTCTTACAAAACCATTGTACTATTTTCATTTTGTACTAAGGTCTGGATTCGCTCAATTGAGCATGTTAGGAGAGGTTAACTCCTTTTGCATATTGAAACGATTGGATCTGAGTTTACCGTGACTTATGTAATGCGCCCGAGTGAGTGAGGCATTTAGCATTTATTATAGCCCTCTCATTTGCTCATTTACTAAACATTCCTCTTACTCCTCTTACCCCAAATATAGATAATAAAGTAATCCGTTCGGATTACTTTACTATGGCATTCACCGCCATTGCCAAACTACAACCAGCAAATTTGGCACAAACTCTTGACGTCACCAATACCTACCAACAACACCCGCCTCCCACACTTGCTGGATGATCAGATGGGATACAACTGAGGTAACTGCAGGCACTGGGTTCAGACCCAGACGTACATGTAGGGAAATTATAATTGACCGGAGTTAATGGATTGCTAAGGCCAGGCTACATCAATATAATATTGCTACTTTATCCGTTTAGCATTATTAGGATTTTGACTGTAATTTGTTCATTGCTATTCACTCGTTGTCCCATTGTCTGTTTCATGGTATGATGACCTGGCCTCCTCCATCTACACCTGCGGACTGACCTGCCCGACCCGCCTGGGAGTGCTTTGCACCGGACCTGTCCACGTTCAACAGCCGCTGGTCCACGTTCTGTAGCTTAGGTCCTGGATCTATAGCCCGTCCGTCCGTGGGACGTCTCACTTTTTTCCCACTGGGTTTTTCTTATTTGTTTTTCTCTGCCGATGCAGGAGGGTCTGTTGTTAGTGTCCAACAAAAAGGATGTGGTGATGATCCGGGACACTTATTTTTTTAACATAAGTTCTATATTCTCTATGTGTTTTAACTGTTGATTTTCTGATCTGTGCTGGTGATTTCAATGGTTTGGTTCTGTTGTGATTTAGGGCTATACAAGAATAAATTATATTGTATTGTATTGAACCAGTAAAGGTCCATGAGCACACGTTTGAAATCTCACTACTTGCCGGTGGGGGCAATATCAATATCCAATACAGGGATCAAGAGTTCCAAGCTTCCGGCTCGACCGCACGGCATTGTGGGTAGTTTTCTCAAAAAAGTGGGCATGAAATCACGCTCTCCAATTAGATTACCTGTTGCGAGCGTAATCAGTCTCTCTTTTTTCCAGCCCATCGATTGTTTTAATTGCTACAAAAATCACCAATTTCAGACATTTAGAAGGTAAGGTAAAGATTTTTTCATGTAACATGTTTTCTTGTGATTTTAGATGTAAACACAACCGACTGACTATAGAGCTACATGTAGCTTATACTTATGAGAATCGAATGCTTACACGCGAGCTTTATAAACTTGCCCAAAGATGTACTTTGGACATATTTGTCTGATGTGGAGCTTCTGTATGTAGAGAAGGCCAAATACCTGGGGCACGTAATCAGGAATGACCTCAGTGATGACGATGACATTCAGAGGCAGTACTGTAAGCTGTAGGGACAGGCTAACACTTAAGCACAGAGATTTCACAGATAAAGTGAAAATAACTTTGATTAAAGCCTACTGCACACCTCTCTATACTGCCAGCTCACTGTTTGTTCTTAATAATGTCCCCACTCTGAATGCTCTGATCAAAATGTTATGTTGTAAGCTACATGTAGCTCTATCGTCAGTTGGTTGTGTTTACATTTAAAACCACAAGAAAAAAAAAAGCATTGATTTTTTTGTTACATGAAAAAATCTTTACCTTACCTTCTAAATGTCTGAAATTGGTGATTTTTGTAACGATTAAAACAATCAATGGGCTGGAAAAAAGAGAGACAGATCACGCTCGCAACAGGTAATCTAATAGGAGAGCGTGATTTCATGCCCACTTTTTGAGAAAACTACCCACAATGCCGTGCGGTCGAGCCGGAAGCTCGGAACTCTTGATCCCTGTATTCAAATGACATCTTTTATCCTCTCGGAAAGGGCTTTACAGGATGGTAAAAAACTACTACTACTATTCAATCAATCATTCTTTATTTATAGAGCGTTTTTCCTACACAGGGCAACACAAATTTGCACCCATCGCTTCATTGGGTGAGGAATGAGCTCATCTGGACAAACATTCCTTGAATTATACATAGATATACTTAATAATAAAACATGGATTTGATATAATTTAAAACACCAACTTATATTGAAAATGATAAATGACGCCAAACCTTTGATCTATGTTTTTGTAGAAAAAAATCTATTTTTGGGTATGAGCTCTGACATATTTTCTGTTTAGATAAGTGATGGGCTTTCATCATAACAGACAAGCCACCCAGGCTGCTGTCTACATATCATCTATTATTTCCTCATCCAAATTCCCTTCCTCCTGCATGAGCATACTGGAAAACAAACAGGCTCTCATTAGCATGTGTGACCGGTTGGTGGTGAACAGGCTTATTTCCACATGAGTGCAAAGCAAGAATGGATTGCACTGGGACAGTCGACGTAGGTGGGCCTTCTGGCTGCCATCACAGGGACTTTAATAAGAACTTAACAAATACAAGTGGACATGCACAACATTTCCTGGCATAAGAAGGCCATGTTTATACAGCAAGCACTAGTTAGTTTATAATATAAGTTATTAAGTTCTCCCACTTAAAGACATAAAAAATTAAAACAATCCCATCGCTTGATTTTTAAAGAATTTATTTGCAAATTATGGTGAAAAATAAGTATTTTACGGCTTCCTTCAGTTCAGTAAATACTCACAAAAAACAAAACAAATATAAGTGCATAATAGCCATACCAAAAAATATAATGAAAAATATATTTAGAATTTGCCATAATTGAATTATACTTTATGTTTAAGTTTTGTATTTATATTTGAACTGTTTTATACTTACACATGTTTTTTATGTCATCACAAATGTTATCCCATAGTCCTACTCCACAATAAGAAATACAACATCTGTTCCTGCCTGTTCGAATTTGAGAGATTATAAAGTTGTTCTTAAATATTTATTTTATATTGTTTGGCAGCATACTTGCCTTATACATGATCTGTATATAAATTTGAGCAGCCTTGACTGAATAAATAAAGGATATGGTCCCGGTAGCCAACTTTATGAATTATTCGTATTGCCCGTTTTTATAGTATAAAAAGTGGGTTTAAGTTGGTGTTGTAGTTGTTTATAATTGATATGCTTCTTGAAATTTTATTTTGTATGTTATTTTTAAACTGAAGAAAATACAGGTTAATGTTGTCTGAGTAGTAAAGCAGTAAGCTGTTTTTATTATGCATGATATGCAGCTTTTTAAATGTGAAATGGATGTAATAAGCTGTTGAACTCATAGAGCGCTATTCCGTTACATTTTAAAAACAATATTACGCACATTTCTGCTAGTACCATTTTAGAGTAACTTGCAGATGCCCTGCTACTGTTGGTGTTAACAGACAGGCAGGGTCACAGGAACAGGAGACATCGTATCAGGTGACTTGACGAACAGCAAATAAATAAAAGAAAAAATACCGTCACAAGAAATATAAATACATTGCAGACCCACTTCTGTTTTCTCTCTCGAGCCATGTTTTCCTCAAGATGGCAGCAATCTTTTGGAATGTGGCCCTGGGTGGACAGAATTCCTGATCTCGGATCTTATTTTCAGATACAAGATAGTTGCACTTGATAGGTAGGTCAATCATTATTATTTAACTGAATATGCGCAGATGTGATTATTATGATCACAACATGAAAGCAAAGATAAAAAAACCTGCATTCGATTTGTTTACACACACATGCACATATATGAATTGATGCATGCAGGAGAAAAACAGACTTGCTACGCGTTTAGCAATATGCAGTTTATGCCCAGGATTCTTTCTTTTCAAAACAGCAAAACAACCCTGATCCTCAAAGAGCGGCATCCTGGATTTCCCGACACCAGTTGTAAATGGAGTCGCTACTGAACTGAATATGATGTCTCACTCTGTCCATGTCAATGGAGCATACGTTGTATGGATTTTTCCGGGCTTATGTAAGTAGGTCGAAGTAATATTAATGAAAAATAATGACTAACTTCATATTAAATAACGATTAGTTGCCAAACTACATTGATGACGTAAAATATAACTGCGTGAAAAGGACGCATACTTTTACATTGTCTTGAGCAGAGACGATCTTTGTATACGACGCTGTGTTTACAGCGAACACGACAGACTGCAGACTGCCAGAGCCGAGGGGACTGAGTACGTTTACCTGAGCAATTAATCTATCACAGCGCGATATCTATTCGACTTGTCATCGGTGGAGTAATTTGGATCTGCAGCGAGGACGACCTAAAATTAAGTGAAACTTTCCATTGCATCAAGCATCGCCGTTATGCAGGTGAATTGCTGCAGTCGGTACAACAACGCGGCGTGTTTGTGCGTGATGTGCTGAGGAGGAGGCTGCGGTTTCCAATTGGTTTTTTTCACAAGTGTTTTCATCGAAACATCACACATCCCTGACAAGCAGTTTGGCTTCAATATGGTGCTGTGTGCAGTGAACACTGTCTTTCATCCCAATGTCATGGGCCCGAGTTATTTTCACCAGGATCCTCCAAGAACGACTCCTTAGTGAACGAAGCGTTTTTCCTCCAGAAATGGACTCAGAAGATGCGGATTACAGAGGAATCTCCGCCGCTATTCTAGTCTAATTTTTTTTAACCTTAAGGACCAACGTTGCTTTTCTCTTGGTGGGACTTAACGGAAAATTGATAAATTTGTTCGAGAAAGTGGAGTAAATCTGTGATTTTGGAGCTCCACTGGACTGGACTCCCATCGCAAAAACGTGAACGAGCTATCCTGCTAGGTAGCTATTAGCCCGATTAGCCGGCTAACAGCTATATGGTGCTGACTGGAGATTATACAGTCTGCGAGTGAGTGTGGGCTGGTTCCATCTGCACTTTGTTCTCTCAATGTATGTGTTTGATTTACTAAGAATACTATGGTTTTACGTCTCTAGGAATGAAGCCTCGGGTGGAAAGGAACCGCTTGACCTTGTTTTGGGGTCTGATGCTGGGTCTGTCGTCCTGCCTCTGGCCCGCCACAGCAGAGAGTAAGTGCTGCTGCACACTTTACAACACTACTACTATACAACATTCAGAGCTACACATCAGCCACGCACTCCCACTCATTTACACTGACTGTACTTGATGGAGAACGGGTATTGTTATGTTGAAATTGGAAATTAATATTAACTCATGTGATGCTTGGATCGCCGAATATCCTTTTCCAGGGTCTAAATACACCCAACATGGTATACATCTTTTTTTCTTTATTGTAAAACATTTTGCCTATAGATGGAAACGATGTGTTTGGACTGCTTGTGAAAATAGATAAGCCATGGTACATACGTTCCTTATTATGATGTATGTATCACTTCACTAAAACACCCCCCCCTCCCACCCAGCAATTTAAAGTTTAAATGTTTATTTTCGTTTTGTTGAAGTTGTAGAGCGTAATGGGGAGAGTTGGAAGCAGGGTCTACATATTAAAATAGAACAGCCAGAAGTACTTTTGCAAGCAAAACAGACCTAGTTCTGTTGATTGGAAAGAGTGAGGAGCTTGTGAACTGAATGTTATGGGGTTTACTGTTCGCCCTAGTGGTTACACGTAAAACCTGCACGTAGCAGCGGGATGGTTTACCCTGGGAAGCCCTGCATTTATTCTAACTCTGGTGTGGAGCTGTCTAAAGCTTCCTTGTGTGGCTCAGCCCTGAGCATTCCTGCTGGTTTACTCTGTCATTTGGGACTACAAGGCTGCAGTAAGTATGGATTCAGCCCGGCTACCCCAGAAACATGTAAAGAACAAATCGACAAGCCAACTATTTTAACTTCTAAACATGGCAGTTTTCCTACCTACCTTCAGGTGATATAGTATGAGAAATTGTCCTTGAGGGCATGTTGTAGGGAGAGTCACTGTATAACAGCACAATTTTGGCAATCATGTGTCATTTACTTTCACAAACAAGATATTCTTTTCTATCTATACTATTTCAATATTAACATCAATGACAATTATGAATTACTGGGTGAGTTGTAAACAGACTCGTGCGGTTTAGTGGTTAAGATCAAGATAGAATCTAAGTATTTCCGCTGATTAGCTGTGGATAGTGGGTGTGTTGCTGCCAGGCGAGAAAAGGTTATCATAGGTAAATAATATGGTCTGGGACTTCATCAAAGCCGCAGAGATAAGCTTGTGTACTCAGCTGTTTCAAATGTATCAATGCAGAGGAAACTGGCGGCATATTGCGCTGCGCCCCTGTTGTTTTTCTTTACATCTACCCAAGATATACAGTGTATAAAACTGATAATAATTTTTTCTTTTTAATTTGGATATTGTGAGTCGGAGCACCTTTCATGAAATATGGGTATGTTGGCTTGTGAGGCCAATGAGGGTGAAGCATTCACTCAGTGGTGATGTAACACCACTGGGCAGTGTGTTGCTCTTTACAAGCCTGCCTGTTAGAATTGTTTTAACAGGTATTCAGAGCACCAAGAGCTGCTGACTGTGTGCACTGACAAGTAAATTACAGAGAAAGACATAACAGTCATACCGGCACCTTCTGCATTAAATCAAACTGAAATAATGTTTTACCAAAGGGAGTGCCGCCCTTAATTATTTTCTGATAACAAATATAAACAAAATTTTACAATGTCCATTCTACTACAGCCAACCCTTTTGCTTAAAATTTGTGTGGCAATGTATTTTTTTCTCCCATGGTAGGGAGTTAAGTGAACAGCGCTTGACTGTAACACAGGCCTCTTATTATACACCGGAACCTCTTTGAAGATGACGTTTTACACCTTTGTACTACAGCAACACCATCCGCTTCATTTAAGTCTATAGAGAAAGCGTCTGTTTCCCCATTTCTGTGTCATATAAAAACTTTATAGGGCAGGATTAGAGCTATAGTGGTGGGACAACCTGCTAGCCGGCTGTTGTGAGTTTTCCGTGAGTCACTAGCCTGCAGCTTTTGAAGTAAAAATCCTCCTCACAGTCATGTGTCATAATGGTCTCCATGTTTCTGTGGGCGCTCACAGGGCTTTTGGCAAAGTATTGTTTGGAGCCAGACAGAGGTGGGAAGAACTGTAGAAATGCAAACATTCCTCAGCACTGATCTTATCATGCTTTTCTCAACACAATTTAATGCGGGCGCTGAATGTTGAGGTGGTGGCTGGTTGTAGTGAAATTTGACTGTTTTTTTCCTTTGAAGTTTTATTGCGTTGGAAATGTTTTTAATGCTTTTTTTCTTTTAAACAAAACACTGGATAAACATGAACACAAAAGCCATAACTCCAGACATACCATGTTATTACAGGGGCTCAATTAACCTTGAATAGACTCTAGTGTGAGCCTTGTCACATTCTTTTATGTCGGCATTGAAAATGAAATTACATGTTGCTATATGTCAATAATGTCATGGGTCAACACTCTAAAATGGGAATGTTTTCAAATACTTTAGTTTTTTTGTGCAATGAGTGCCCATATTAATCTTGAATTGTGTGCATGTTATTGTGTTATATTAAAACATTCAGCAGGATAATATTTACCCAAAAACTTTGTTTTTTATCTCTCTTGCAGTATGTCAAGGCATTGATATTGGCAACGATATCAGTGAATTCATCCGTCTGGAAAATTGTACAGTTGTGGAGGGATACCTGCAGATTCTGTTGATAGGAGACAAAAGTAACAGCACAAACCAGGAAGTCTTCCACACTCTTAGCTTCCCCAAGCTTACAATGATCACTGACTATCTCCTGCTGTTCCGTGTGTCTGGCCTGGACAGCCTCAGCACACTCTTTCCTAACCTTTCTGTCATCCGCGGCCGCACCCTCTTCTACAACTATGCCCTGGTCATCTTTGAAATGACCAGTCTAAAGGATATTGGCCTCTTCAACTTGAGAAACATCACTCGTGGCGCAATTCGAATTGAGAAGAACCCTGAGCTCTGCTACCTGGACTCAATTGACTGGTCCCTCATCATGGATGCAGAGTTCAACAATTATATTGCAGGAAACAAACAGGCCAAAGAGTGCAGTGATATTTGTCCCGGCATCATGGAGAACCAACCCCAATGCAAAAAGACAATCTTCAACGATAACTACAACTACCGCTGCTGGAATTCAGATCACTGCCAGAAAGGTAAGTGCACCCAAATATCAGGGTTAATCAGCCATTTTACTTATAATTTTTTTGTCTACAATTACACTGTAGCAGTTTTAATTTTTAGTATAATGGCACAATGTAATGCCATATTTTATCTTTATTTATGTATCTCACTTATTATTATTATTAACATTATTAAATTGGTGTGTATTTTCTTAATTTTAAGAAATTATTTCATATTCTAGAACACAATGCATTATATGTGCTCTTAAAAAGGAAGATGAGGACACTTACCGGTTTTAATGTTGGAGAGTGACTTGATAAGATAGACTTAAATTTACATTTTTATTTGAGTGGTTATTCGTAGCAGCCTGGAGTTTTGTTGTAAAGACCGTGACACGTTATAATGTATTGTCTTCTCTTTATGGCACTTCATATAAAATAAGCTGTTGAGGTCCGTCAATGTGGGCTATTTAGCATGTTTGTATTGCGATGTGAATTTTCAATCATTTCTGTTGGCTGAGTGCGTGTGCGAGTCTGGCTGAATGGTTTCCCTGGTGACTGGCGCCTTGCTGCAGATTCAGCATGTTGATGTTTTTAGACTTGTGACACGGAGCAGTCGCAGCACACGCAAAGTTCACACAGACCAAAAGACATGCTAATCATAGACTGCTGTATAGCCTTGCAGTAACGATAAACATGAGGGATTAGGGAGTTGTAAATATGTCTGGCCTCCATTTACAGTATCCGTTTTTTCCAGTTAGATGGATCATGACTGCTTGAAGTAAAAATAATAGGGTGAGTAATCCTGGACACAGGTGGAGAGTGTGGTGCAGCAATTGCCAATGTTACTCACCAACAGTAATGAAAAGCGTGGATCAAAATAAAGTCACAGATAAAGTCTGACATTTAGACGCTTTGGAACATTGCCTTGTTTTTCCATCATAAATGTAGTCTGTGTGGTCATATACTTGATGAAACGCAAAAAAAAGGACATTTAGAGCATTCTATGAGAAATGTGCTAAATTCTTCTAAATATCTCAATATTCAGCCAGTACAGTTGTCTTTGCTACCACATCTCAACCACCAGGTAGCTACTTGGTCATTCTGAGTTGAGTCATCTCCCAAGTTCATATTGATACAGCTCTGACGTCGAGAGGCTGCAACAACTATCCCAAACTTAAATGTTTGTGCTCACAGTATCGAATGACAAGCATAACTACCTCTCTGCCTGCCGATTCCACTCTGGACTTGGCTATGATATATTTTTTGCAGCAGATGTTAAAGCTATGAATAGATTTCTACGTTGTTTTAAACTAGAAACTCTAAAAGCCTTTGCACTACTATTACCACCGCTCTGACAGGTGTTACTAGAGCTCCAACTCCAGTCTATTCACTGTATGTCTATTCATCTATTTTAGCAGTAAGTAAGTATTTAATCTTTATTCATGTAGCGCCTTTCACAGATCACAGTCATAAAAGCGCTTTACAACTTTGGGCATTTGTCACTCACTCCACAGAGATGGGAGCGAGGTTGCTGGTGAATACGGAGACGCAGATTTGACTATATCTACTTTTCTGAGAAAAATGTATGTAAGTTGTGTGTGGGCATCATGTCATCCTGGGGGTACAGCAGTGGGTTGTTTGAGCAGCAAGATGCTTAAGGCACCTTGTATGAATCTGTTGAGTGAATGATTGGTGGTGGCCGAAGAGATTGATTGTGTTAATCAGCCCCAAGGGCAGCCGTGGCTGCAGTTGCTTCTTTCTGCCACAGTATGAAGAGAATAACGAGGCTTCTTTGTATGTCATTACCCTTGGAGCAGTTTTATGACTTCCAGTATTGCTCCAAAGTTAGTTTTGACAATTTTTCAGGAGAAAGGACATTTTATACAATCACATAGCTGTGTTTGCAGCTGGTATCTTTTGAATTTGTAAAAATCTAAATTTAACTCCTCCCTCTTGTGATGGCATACAAAATTACATGCTGACATAATCTTTACTTGATATATTATTTCACATTCTAAAACAAAATTTCAAAGTAATGAGTCTCCTTTTTAATTTGAAAGGCCAAACTGCCCATGACGGTTAACTCCCTCACTTTTACTTTTTTACAAAACGTAGTCAATCAATATGATTTTATATTTTAAGAATTTACACTAGCTTAACCTGCCTAGGCCCTGGAAATGTACATTTGCATTAGCTCATCTTTTCTCCTGTAAGATGTATGCATTTTCTCACAACATTTGTTGTTCACAAATCCGACTGGTGACAGGGAGTGCCATTATCCTATTGTTAAGTCTATTGTGATGCTCTGTATCAAGCTTCAGTAATCTTATCTGCATCTTTTGTTTACCTGTGAGTCTTGCTAACATGACCTGTGTTCCTGTAGGAGTCAACATTTTCCAGAAAGCCAAATTGATATTTTGTTTATCATCATCGTTACAATTGAAATGTTAAGTTTTCTTCCCCTTGGAAATATTTCCTCTAACTCCATTCATAAAAATGGTTGTTTTTCAGGGGAACATATATTTTCACATAGCCAGTAGTTTCTGCTAACCCCTCTTATTTTTCTTTGGGGGTTAGCTGTAAGTGTTTTGTTTCATTCGTCCCTCTTCGGCTCTTACTGAAGGGCCATGTTTGTGCATGCTGGGAAGCAAACAAACTGTCTCACCCCGCTTCACTCTCCAACTCTCCAACTCTCCAACCCACATAAGCTCACAAACAGCAGCATAGGGCACATCTTTTTCCACTGTTTTGTAAGGTCTGAGAAGATGAAAGCACGTCCATTAAATATATAGTAGGTCTCTTCTGGGATTTACGAGAAGGGTGTTTGTCTGAGTTTGGTGTGTGTCTTGTGGGACCAGCCAATTTATCAGTTTGCTTATTAAATTGGAAACATCAACTCAAGACATTGGTAATCGGCCAACAGAATATCTTCATTGTCTACCAAGGTTGAAATGCATCTTTGGCTCACATCACATTAAAACACAAACAGTAAATATTGACAAGAGTGAAACGGTGGCCCTAATAAAATGCAATAAAAATAATATACAGTGCATAATGAATACGTTATTTTCTGTTGCTCAGTCTAGCATGGCTACAGCAAATACTACTCTCTCATTTGCCTATTTTTATTTTATTTTTTTGGACGTTGAAGCCACCAACTAGTTTTTTCAAACTTGACTCATTATAGACATTACAGACACAGAAATCTGCATAATTAATATGTTGTATTGCAATCTACATATATTCTTAATAACAAAGCGTCTGCAGCAGCCATTGAGATCATAATTACAAGTTCACAATGCCATTAATTTATTTGTATTTCTTTACTGCATTGTATAATCACAATTCATACTAAACTAAGAAAAACAAAAGAAGGAAGGATGCATTAAAATAAAGGAAATAAAAAAATAAAGTTCAATAATTCTAATTCTATAATCCTGTAAGAATTTTAAATAAATTATATTACCATAATAAGCACAGGAGCAGTGTTAAAATAAACTATTTTCATGATAAATGTAAGAACCAATATAATGTGTGTCAATTATGTCAATATTGATCAAACTGTGTGATGACTGTATATTAGTGTATCGCTTGATAACATTCATTTCACAGTCTGACAAGTATGACAGTGATTAGGACGACTTAGGATCGTGGGACTCCCTTCTCCTGCCCATGTCTAATCTCAACTATAATTAGGTGCATACCACTATGTGCCTATGTTACAGCTGCCAGGAGCGCATGCCAGGTCAGGTCAAGTACATGCTGCATTAATCAGGAGACGCTGTGATGCAAAGATGAGATTACGATAGACAATACTTTGGTCTGTGTTCTGTAAAAAAAATAAGAAAATCAAACACTCATTTGTTATAGCCGTGCAATAGATAAGAAAAATTGATTAATGTAATGTTATAAGGATTCATCATTAACTAAATCTATGACAAAGATCACCTAAGATCTGATTGGCGCGAGATGACAATCCTTTCCATCTCAGTTGATCTGACTTTATCATTCTCTGTGAAGCCCAAAAGAAGAGACTCCATGGCAACAGAGACAAAGAGCATACCAGAGAAATGTCACACTTTAACTTATAAATATGGCCACAGTACCTGTTTTCTCAGATGGTAATTTTTTTCCCAAGCTAGGGTGGGCAATAAAATAATAATAATAATAAATCTCTAGTTAATTTCCACATTTAAACCATAAACATTTCAAATGTTGTGCTTTTTGTAAACGCAGTTCTTTGTGGACTGCCCTTTTATAAACACTCGCTGCATGACTAAACTTCAGAGGCCTGAGAAGCAGTGGCTAGAAGAAACTCTGGCTCTAGTCTATACTGACCTAGCCTGGCCTTAGCCATCCGTACACTACGGTCAATCATCATGTCCCATTCCAGGTCCACCCCCATCGGCCCGGGGTGTTATTGCAAGCATGTCAGCGCACGTCATTTTGGCCACTTTTGAGCCGGGACCCGCCCCCACTTTTTACGGGTTTGCGCCGAACGGGCAGGTTGTAGTTTGGCAATGACGAAGAATGCGGTAGTAAGGTATTCCGGTCTGGTTCTATCAAGAGATTGAAGCCGTAGCAGGAGGAATTTATAGCTAAAGTCATTGCTGGCAAAGATTGTGGCGCTACTCCCCACGGGCTACATTAGCGGCAAAGGAGATGGCTAGGCTAAATGCTAAATGCTAACGACTCACTCAGGCGCCGGGTGATTCTCGCGAAATCAGACTTACAAGGTGGCATGAAGAATAAGATGAACAAAGTAAATGCAATGGAAATTACAATGATACATTTATAAACATGTCATCACAGGCTATGTTGCACATGATTTAAAGTGAACATTATAAAAATATTTTTATTGTTTTTTCCATATTTAATAGTAAATTTCTCATTACCGCAACGCGTCCATTACTGAATTTGAGAACTTTGAAATACAATTTAAAAAAAAAAAAAAAAAAATGAAATGTATAAATTATCAGTGCATGTTATACTATAAACAGTTACAATAAATAAACATGTGATATTGGGTA